TTGTGTGTGTATGTGTGTGTGTGTGCGTGTATGTGTGTGTGTCTGTGTGTATGTGTGTGTCTGTGTGTATGTGTGTGTGTGTGTGTGTGTGTGTGTCTGTGTGTATATATATGTGTGTGTGTGTATGTGTGTGCCCCTGTATGTTGGCGCAGAAAACAAGACATTTTTAACGAGGGTCCAACGAGCGTTTTGGTTACTGGGTCGGTGCAAAAAGTGTCATGAACTTTTCCCCCAAGATTGTCCGTTTTGCAGAACGTGTACCCTCTCTACAGCAGATTCCTCTAGTTCTTTAATAATTAAAAACAACCCCACAACCTTTTTACAATAAGAGGCATAGAAAAAGGATCGCGGGAACGCGCTTTTCCTTTGCTGAGCCCTGAAGACATTTGGCTGGCTATTAGCTTTCTGCCGTTGTAAACGAGGTGACACCAGACAAAAATTGGGTAAACAGAGGAATATTAATTAGGTGCTTGTGTTCACTGCATGTACCACGAAGCGAAATATTCTAAAAACAGTCTTAACGGTCTCAACTGAATTTTTGGTTTAAAAAACATTTCGAAGGTATAAAGTAAAAAAAGATGGGATGTTACTTGTTTGGAATTTTAGAAGAAGAAAAACCACAACAGAAATGAATGATTGACAGCCCAGGTGTTTCCGTAACATTGTTTATTTTCCAAGCCTAATCGCTACCTCCAGAATTACAAAGTCCTATCTGCTCAGTGCCTAGTTTTGAGAAAGTTGACGTCAAAGATTTTGAGTTTCACATCATGTCAAGCTTTTTCGAAAGTAATTTTTGAATATTTCAATAATGACTTCGGAGTATTTTACAATTTTGATAGAGCAGATAGAACATTTGGTTTCTGGCCTCATAGTTGTAGTAACTCAAAACAGCAAACAATTCTGAGGTAGCGAAATATTAGTCGACTCATCAGGTTTTACCTCTACCTGGACACTGACAAGGGCCACAAAAGGTTCGTCAACACTTTCCAACCCACGCCACAAACTCAAACTCAAACTACTCGAAAGACTAACATCTTTTGTTTTTTCCAATTTGCCCATCATTCAGTGCAGCCTTACCTTCACGAAGATGGCGTCAGTGGCATAGGGATTAGGCTGCCGGACTCGTAATCGTGAGATTGAGGGTTCGGGGATTCGAGCCTCAGCTCGGTACGACATTGTGTTCGTGGGAAAGGCACTTTACACGAATTTCCCACATGGCTCGGTCCTTTCGGATATGGACGTTAAACTCGGAGGCCCCGCCTCTTAATTAACCTAACAGTGTTGATAGTGGCGTTAAACCTGTACAATTTCGCCATTTTATCTTCACTACACCGCACCACTGGTTATAAGATATTTACATACGGCGTAGATCTATACTAAAAGAGATAGCGCAATGAGGTGATAACGAAATCGATATCTTCTCATCAAATTCATCAGGCAAACCGGTGTACATCTGATTGTTGATATTATTATTATTATTATTATTATTATTA